AAACACCACCACGAGAATGCAGTGAGTAGGGCTTCCTCAGCAGAGGCTATCTGAGACGCTTGGTCGTATGGGAGCATTTCGCGGGGTTCAAGGGAAGGGTGAACAGGCACCACCCTAGACCCCCCCCCATACCATACTCTAACCTCGGTAACCAATTGTGAGTCAATGTACGACTTCGGGTGTCAATCCATATAGCAATGACAGTTATACAGTAGAGACAGAAACAATGAGATTACCGGCTTTTCCCCCCGATGACAGCATACCAGGAGAAATATCACAAGGCATACAATAACTCCATGTCAAGTTGATAACTTGTCCCTTTCTGTTGGAAGAAACATTTTCAGTTCTTATCGTAAACTGACACGACACCTCAGTGGCTTAAGTTGTTGTGCCGCATTAAAACCAAACGGACAATAGTGTTTATTGAGAAAAAAGCATTCGATAGACAACGAAGACAAGTAGGTGCATGACCGTCAAATTATCGAGGATATTTATATTTCACTCGCGTCTGAGTCCAGACTGTATGCTTAACAAATCACAGTACAATAATCTTCATAACAAGGAAAATGTTCATGATTTACTAGTGGATAGGCTACTGACGGGTGGCCCAAACCTAAGCCAGTGAATTTTCTTCGGGAATCCATGACAGAAATCTTTGCTTAACCAAAGACTGACTCATAAAGTAGCGGATCGCGATGTAAAAGCTGTAATCCATTGAGGACCTGTCCCCTGTTTATCGGATCTTACGCTATTTGGACGGGATCAAAATGTCCGAGGTGCCGAACATACCTCGATACCCAATCGAGCCGGTGACCACTGCTACAACTGAAGTGTGTATTTGGTTGGTTGGTTTCTACTCAGGGTTTCAAGCCCACTTCCCTGGTTGAGCTGCTAGTGATTCACCAACTCGGTTATAGCCCTAGAAGTTGACTTTTCGTCCTATCATTTCGGTGGGAGAATGCCTCCACCAGGCAGTTAGTACAGCTTCCTTAACAGAGGCTGTTAGAAATGCTTAGTCATACAGAAGCGTTTCACGACGTGCAACGCAGGGTGACCAGCCGCAATCCACGATAGTACTGGGGCTTTGTGAGGCCTAGTTTTCGTTCCTAGGAATAAGTTCGCAGAAAGCGCTTCTTAAAGCATCCCCTATGGAATCTCTACTCGCTGAATTTCCGGGACGACGGTGTTCTCACCAAAGAGGGAGAAAGATAAGTGGAATGAATTGCTGTGGGTAGCTTGCTAGTTCATATGGAGGTGGGTTGGTAAGCTCCGATTTCAGGAAATCGTGGCAGCAATTGTCATTGTGATCGATTGCACACTTTAGCTGCGGTAATCACATCTCAAGCACGCCGAAGAGTCAAGCCGTTTTCTCGGGCAACCTGGCAGTTCTGCGTCAAATAACAAACCATGGATCTTTTTTCTTTTACTTCCTTTTATAGATAACTTTGTTATAAACATGATCCGTTTAACACAGACCTGTATGAAGTTGACTAGTGGTAGTTATCTGAATCACATTCACCCTCACAATTTGACTCACATTCAGTTTGTACTAATGCGAATCTAGCACTTTATAGTGCGTCGGATTTGCTTGTTCGATTTCAGCTATCCATTCGGTCGACCAATGAGGAACTGAGCAAAGACATAGAATAGGTACATACGGCATCAGAAATAGAATATGAATGCATGTGGAGAATGCTTAAAAAAGCACGAGTCTCACTGTTTACGATACAACCGTACCACAACCTCATCAAGTTTTGATTAGATTTATCCTGGGATCCCCGAATAGGAAGTTCAACGTGAACAAAATACCCCGATGGGTTTACGCCAGGCAGCATTATAGTCACTCCCGGCCTGTTTCGAACCGCTGTGTCTCCGTGGGCACCAGCCGAGGAACTGAGGCGACTAGAGTGCGAGAGGTTCATTCGCCGCGGTTGAAGTTAGTTAAAAGATGGTGTAACATGATCTAAGGAAGGGGTGCTAACTGACGAATTAGTTTCTACTTGCCACGGAGAGATGCCGTTCACCGGAGAATACCCAAACAAGGTGTTACCCGGTCAGCGAGATAAAAAAAAACTAATATTGTGGTTTATTTATCCCACTCGAAAATCTCTTTTCAACCTGAGGGGGACGGGACAATCTGTATGGGAATGCAGCAATTAATGAAACAGAGGACGAGGATCTGATAACCAACCCATTTCCATCATTGCATTAGCCCAAAGGGCTAAACAGGACCGTAGTAGTCCTAGGATGGAGTGATAGGCCCGATGAGGATATTGAAAGTATAAGACCAGAATTGAATGCTTTATTGCATACGGCAGTTTGAACGGACAACGTACGAGGCTTCACACACACACACCACACATATGGACGAACACAGATGAGCTGCGGTGAGAAGGAAGTACGTATCTCTGACGGGGTATCAGAAGGCAATCAAGAAGACAAGAGGGGTCAGACAAAAACAACCGAGAAACCATGTGCACAAAACAATGGGCGAGAAGAGATAACAACAAAACGTGAATAAAGAAAGTACACTGGTATGGATAATGAATAATATATGTATATAAATATATGCATGAATGCTGTTTTACGTATACTAGATATATGTGTATGCATGTATGTATGTATAAATGCAGAGCCGAGTCAAAACAATCGGCACTGGCAATAGACAAAAACCACAGGGCACAAAAGGTCAATGCAAGTTGTGGACGTGGGGTCGGAAGTAGTCGAGGATTGGGGAAAACCGAGTCACACAGCAGTGTGAAATCCCATTCATCACAGGTGAAGAAGAATAATAGAAAAGGAAAAAACAAAGCAAAAAACAGAATAGAATTCATCGGTAGATATTAGAGGATGATACAGAGGTTGTGGGGAAGAAGAACAAGAAATTGCAAAAGGGATCAGTTCACAAAGCACGAGTAGGTGTGGGGCAGAAAAAGACAGCATGTGGAAAAGATCAAGAGAGGGGAAATCAGACCGCACTAGATGAATGCGAGCATCGTGAAAACAGGGATGGGGGTGTGGGGATACGTACGAACACAAAACGAGACACGTGCCCAGTGCGACTCCTCAAAAAGAAACAAGGAATGGGTTATGTACAAATGAAATGACGGTGCATGATGGATAGGTAATGTTTCAAACAGTGACAAGAAACCGGTCCACCGTATCACGCACGTTTAGTGTAGATTGTGCATGTGAAAACGGGAAAAGATCAAGATAAACAAAGTACTGAAAACACAAATATCACCAATGCATTATTACATGAGAATGAAAGGATGAATCAATTGGGCACAGCAGCAACAGAGAGGCGGTGTTGTCACATGTGTAAAATCATCATCAATGCAATGAGAACGATATGTAAATGAGAAGCGAAGTTAAAGAAGCATGACGATAAAGACAAGAGAAAAGGAAGAGAATGATAACAAGACAGGCTGATTTCGTGGGAAGGATGCGAAACCAATCCTATGATTATTCATAGATAGATATATAGATATATGTATATACGCACAGGACACATTTGTAGGCATTCAGTCGACATGCAACAGTTGATGAATGTGACTGCGCAAGAATAAATGGTACAGGAGAAAACCACTGGGATAGATAGTATGTGAGTATTTGAAGGGATATGTGCGATAAGAAACACAAAATACCGGCACCTCGTATCACATCACAAGACATCATCACATGCAGTCAAAAGACGACATCGCAAAAAATTAGACCAGTTGCAGAAACTGGGAGAGGTATGCAGAGAAGGAACATATCAAGAAGGCTAGGCGACGGTGATCACGGTGGCCAACGTCGAACGTGGTCCAGAGTGGATCACAGGGACGGTAGTGGCTGTTTCGTTTGCATGGGTCATCAGTTTCTCTTGGGCACTTTTCGGAGTGAATAAATCCATAGCTGGTTCCACTTCGGCTGGGAAGTGACTGTGATCATCCATAAATAGGCAATTTGGATCAGATAGGCTACACACATTCACAGAGTCTTTCACTCTGGTCGGATTTGGCTTCCCAGCAAAACCAAAAAGGAATGACCAGAGGGTTCGTGGTGGCGCCGAGCATTCGTCAAGCTCATGAGGAGCACCCAGTAAACGCGAACGTGGAGCTTTAGGGAGACCAAACAAAAAGGAAATGAATTCGCGGCATATGCATGCGGACACTGAAAAGTGATAACGGTTATACAGTACAATAAAACGGGGAACTATCATTGTCTCCGGTGATCGTTTTAATTCGAAATGATCCTGCTTTGGTAGGTCGGGAAAATGACAATTTCGTTAACACATGTGGACTGATGATCTAGTTGTTTAAATACGGTTAGTAAAGAAAGTATCCAATAAGTTATTAAGTTCACCTTAAAAGTAGGCTCGTTTATAGTTCGTAAGTTTGGATTCTTTGTAGCATCTTCTTGGCATTCACTAGTTCGGCGAAGCTGCAATCTAGTAATTGTATAAACAAAAATGAACACCAGTGATATTTTAAGAGTGAATTCTCCGCAATGTCATACGAAATGTCGAAATTCGATGTAAGATACTCCGTAGTGAGAGATCGACTACGTGTATTATCCACCCAAGTCGGCATTGACTGACCTGTGAAAGTCGGGATTCACCAAAGTTGTCCGGATTTCGGTTACCGATAGGATGGCTATGGCATATCTACTCCATTTCCATATTCACCAGATTTTCCCTCAGCATGTACTCGCCTGACCACATTTTTAAAATCTCTATTCTGGGTTTTCCAAACGGGCCGTAAACCGCCTCAATGATAAAATTCCACATGCATATGAGAATGACTAAACTATGACCTATAATTTGCTGCAAACCGTAATTCGATGCATACGGTGTAGCTAAACACTAAAATTTCCGTGCCCTCACCTGTTTAACGATTAGGGATTTGATGGTAAAACAGAAACTTGGACAGAAAAGAGTTGCAACCTCATGTGTTCTATACACCACATGAGGTTAAGGTGACAGTGGTGGTGGCGCAGTGGTTTAGTCATGGTCACCGGCGTGCTTTGGACCCTGTGTTCCTACGTTCGAGCCCCGCCACCGCCACCCGACTTTGGTGGTAGGCAGCTTTGTTATCGCCCGGTTCCATACCAAGCATAAGCTACCGGGGTCTTATGTGGTTCGCCACTCCAAGTCCCCGGGCTTAGGCTATCGGTTACCATGACTGAACAGTAGGTGTTTGTGACTATGGGGTCCGCCCCGTCTACTGTTCATGACACACTGGCGTGATAAAAAAAATGACCGGTTGACCGAAAATTACAAAAAGGTGAGGTATAACTTACAGAACAGGACTGTGAATCGCTCCTGTCAGAAATAGTTCTAGGTCACATGATATTATACTCCCTTTCTGAATAAGTAAATACTTTTGCTCATCAGTTTGAATTAGGCATGAAACCGCATACGGCGCAAGGTAACAAACTTAGGAATTATTGTTGTCGTAGCTTAAGTGATAAGGCGTTCACACATCCCAAGCACACGTTGTATATAAAGTAAGAATGTGCATGGCAGTTAGGGAGTGGGTGTGTTTGAGAAATAAGGATATTAAGTAAGACTTCATCGTTAATACAGAGTATACAGGGCATGCACACCTCATCAAGCATTCTGGCTTGAAACGAAGTTACGAGAATGCCACTTGTCGGTACGTTGTCAAGCACTTCAGTGTATCAAAGCAACCAGTTGCAGTCTTTCGGACCCCAACCTGGAAGCCTGGAGATACCAACTCTATTCCCTGTGCATTTCCTCACTTTTCATCTTCAATTCGTTTGCCGGTCTCCACGTAAGCTACTACAACCCAGAGCAGTAACAGAGAATAAGGTGCAATGCGGCAAACGATAGTTGAGCATGCATAATACTAGTCAAACCAGCGAATCCTACTAATCTGCATTCATTGTGATAACCAGCTGTTCACCGAATCATTCAAAAATACTCGTCGGCAGTGTTGTGGACCCGCTTGTTTCAACGTGCACGGAAAACTAACCGATCAGTGGTGGATTCTTAGCGTTACCGTCGTTTGTCGTATGTTACGCGACTACCTTAGTAGAAGCCATTTACTGTAACTAACTTCTGAAAATGAAGCACTAGAGTCGAAATAGATGACAGTATTCCAGTATTGTCTTACAATTCTATGGTATAAAACGTATGTGGAATGCGATAAGAGAACTTTTCAGTTTGTCAAACGTTCCTTTCACTTCCTCCATACATTCGAACAGGTAAAGTATGTCATGCGTGTACTCTAAATCGCAGTTTTTCTAAGCTACCCAGCCAATGCCAACACACTGGAGGCCAAATATTTTGCAGTCAACTAGAAATAGAGTCGGTGAGAGAACCATCCTCATCTTAAAGAGGTGGGGAAGCTTGTTAGATCAAGGTGCTTTCCTTTTTTACCGTAGTTCTAGTTCTGTTGTGAAGCTTACATGATACTAGACACGAAGCTTCAGCTGCAAGCGCCGTAATAAACACGTTACTCCAGCTAAAGCGTTCGCTAAAATACTCTGCCCAGTGATCAAACCGCTGCTCCTTATTGTGTATGCTCCGTCTATTTCTACCGCAGATAGTCTCGCCGAACTTGTCTCTAAGGTACTTCTTTCGCACACCAGGCGACGACGAAGCCCGTTGAGTAGATCCGGAAGGGAAGCAACAACAAAATGTGTTTGTTCAGGATCTCAACATATGCACCGACCAACTGCAGTTCTGATACACAAATAGACGATTTATACGACAAACTTATCGAACTCAATCGGTTTCACCGAAATTTCGATATAGCTGTGTCGGGTGATTTTAATGTGCAGGTTGGAAAACTGAGCTCTTCGGAAGCTTGTTTCGGCGGCTGTTACGCTCTGTTCTGTCAGCAGACAGTTAACAGTGATCGACTTCTGCGCAGACCAGCATGTGTTCCTGTACCAACTTGCGACACAGCTCTCATCGGATAGCAACGAGGCGCTCCAATTCAACTGGTACGCTAACTCAAGTCGACTACTAATGTTGGCGTACTTCAGTCAGTTCATCATTGCCTCTCTGTCCCAGCGGTTTGTGTACGCTATAAGTCAGAGCCAGTGCATAAGCCAAGACGAGCGATGGGACCAGATAAGCCGAGCAATGCACTCGGCAGCGAATGTTGTTAGTGGGTCTGAGCCTCAAGCCCGACCAAGGTCTTGGATACCTCATGAGTCAGTATCTTTGATGGAGAAAAAAGGACAAATACCGACATACCAGAATCAAAACACAGGTGGGTAGCGTCTGTAACGTCAGCTTACGAAGTGCCTCAAGAAGGACCGTGAAAACTGGTGGGCAACAATAACCATTGAAATGGAAGTAGCAACTGAGTCAGGAAATAGTCAAACACTGTTCCAATGGATACACAACACCGCAGGTCGGCGAACCCCAGTTAGTGCAACAATCAGCGATAAACGCTATTCGTAATAGGGGAAAAGGCTTTACCGCCGGGCGGAGTATTTCGGAAAATAGTCTAGCTGGCCTGGTATTAGCCAGGCTACCTCATCCGCAAGTGAAGCTCCGTAGACAGTGTCATGTGATCCTCTGGCAGAGTTTCACTTTCCGTTTTTACAGCCATTAACCAAGCACCTTCTTGCGCCTGTATTGGTTGGTCTTTTGGCTACTCATTTGGACAACATCTGGTCGCAAGAGCGCGATCCATCATCTCGGGGATATCGAAATAACTGTATAAACCACCACGGGATAAGTTGGATCCCAATTGTCGCCAAAGTGGTAGCCTCCGCCATACCTTGGCGTCTGACGCCCTTACGGAAGACTAACATCCGCGAACAGCAAGTCGGGTTCCGGCCTGGTGATGGATGCCTGTATTGATTATTTTTATTACGTCACGTAATATAAATCGTCAACTAACGACCACAGTACTCCTTGATCTAAAAGGAGCCTTCGACTCAGTTAGCCGCGAAGCCCTAATAGGTTCGCGTCTCCGAAAAAGAATGCCACAGAATTATGTTGACTTAATGAGATCACTGTACCCCCATATTTCTGGTTCAGTGGGGGTCTATAACGAACTAGAGAACGCACTAACGGGTCTCCAAAATGGCATTTGATGGGCAGCTGGAGGGAAGCTGTGCGACTGAGAGTAAGCTGAATACAACACCCGTAAGTTCGAGCGTAACGAAGACGCACAAAGCGCACTTGACAGACTAACAAGTACTGTTACTCGATTGGGTATGCTCTCTGCATCTTCAAAGTGAACATTGATACTGTAAGGCTGGGTGTCGTCTAGATCGGCTCTGATGTTTCATTCTCGAAAATTGGTGATAGTGGTTTGCTTTTCCTACTGACAACTGCGTGACAAATGATGGTATAATAGCAAAGGGTTGAAATACACGCGTTTCCAAGGATTGACGACGTGACTTTTCACTAAAGTTGAAAGGTTGCGTGTTTTGCGACTGTTCATTCAGCTCCCGCTCCGTGAATAGTGATGCCCTCGAGATCGAACAGTTCAATCACACATCAGGTTTGGGCGAACAAAGAAATTCCGTTGTCGAATCCATTGGATATTGCAACGTCATTGGTAACTTGTCGTTTTATGTGAGCGTGAGCGGTGCCCATGTCACACTGGACCTTTGGATTTATGGTGTCTGTATTATTCCTTTCTCTCCCCTATGGAGAACCCCCTGTACACCGATGGTTCCAGCCCATGGTGAGACCCGAACTACATTCGATTGTTTGGCGCTTCCGCTCATGGAG